TGTATGCTAATATCAGCTTCTTATTCTGACGTCACAGTTACTAGAATTTATATGTAATTCACCACATTAACAACAAGCGTAGGATAATTTCCTCCACACTAGGGTTACACTGTGTTGAGTTGTTCACCCCAGAGCTATTCGAACTCAAAATCAACTACATGTGAGGCTGTATAATAGACAGGAATTCGTCACTAGATGCTAAACAGTACAACTGTATTTATATGCATCAGAAATGTGTACGACATTCATGTCTCTTTTTGCCACACTGTGTGACACATATTTAAATCTCTAAAAAATATAAATTCCCTCCAGGAGTGTAGATACGCGTTTCTGGCGAATATCAATAACCATGCAACCCAGTCCTTGATCTCCTTGTCGATTTATTGTAAATAATTAAGAGCATTACAACGTCTTCAGCTTACAGTAGTGGAGTGTCACCTACATAATTGATTACTTGCCACTCCCAGTCATTGATAACTTGGTTAATTCTGAGGGTGGAAGAACTTCGATCTTTTCCGCAAAATGCTCTCATGTAACCATATGTTCACTACTTCTACCGATTAAGCCCTCTCCACTACCTTTACGCTATGGCGAGTGTTCTTAAAAAAGTGAAGGTGTAAATACAAGTGGTTAGTATTCGTCACTTGATTGTCGGGTGCTTTGATACTTATTTTTTTTAAAATTTTATTTTTGATTACAGCTTGATTCCACACCGTATTTTCGGTACAAGTATGGAATTTTCAGCATGGATATCGGTAGCCCAAATTTTGCAGGCCAACCATAGATATCAAGTGTGCATCGGCAGGGGATCGAACCTCGGACCATTTGCATAGTCGGCGAGAGTCCTAACTACTGACGCACAATTCCAAGTTAGTGGTATGCTAAAAGAATGGATGGTATATGTTCTTGTTTTAGTCTCCAACGTCCCTGGGAATGCAGCTCTTGACATTGCTTTATCACCTTATGAATCAGTCTTCAAATAAAAGATTGTGCACTGATATCTGAACTTAAAAATTCGTACGAAATTGCATTAGTTCAAGTCTCCACACTTCAGAAAAGCTCACTTAAGGCCGCTCACTGAGTTCCAGTTGACTAGCAAGTTTTCTGCCCTCGAGATCAATACTATCCCTACATCAACAAGTTTATAAAAACCAGCAAAAGAATCCCCTGATATCCATAGAATTCATTTCGTAGACTTACCAAGTTGACCAGATGCGGTCAAGTCATTCTTGTGTGCTTCAGAAACACAACACATCCAAACCACTAGGTGTTGAATTATAACTAGTAAGCCTATTTTCAGATTTGGTAGAAGATCCAGATATTGAAAGCTCCGATGTGGCATCGACAGAGCAGCATTAAGAGACTAGGAACAATGTTTGTTTTGGCTCAATTCACTACTAACTCTCAAATTTAGGCGAAGATGAAGTAACCGTTTAAGGAGCAATGGTGGAGTGTAGTACTTTGTTGAATTACGCCACTTCTCTCAAAAGTTATCATCGGTAACATTCTGAAAACAGTTGTTTAAGACATATGTGTTGGTTACGTATATCTCCTATCTAAGGAGGGACTATTCTATCCTTAGTATACAAACGCCACCATCTTACAGAATACTGAAATCTCATTTATTCGGTTGATGATTAATGTCTGCAAGTGTGGTATATACTTTTAACAGTCCAGTTGCAGAATACTATTTCAAGATATGCAGAAGCATGAATCTGAATTGACGTGTCTGCATGGTTTGTTTCTCCTATCACTAGGATTCATAATCAGTTCTATTTAGAACAAAGTCTGAAAGTTTCATATCTTACATTTTACTTGCCTGTTTTTTCTCAACCAGATTTCTTTTTAGCTTATACGATCCTGTTCATAAGGTGTGTCATTTCTGAATATTTTTCCTAGTCCTATCGCGTAGCTTTTCATTAGCCTAAGTGGTGTCTTCGTTTGAGGTATCGTCTGTCAGTCAACAGGTATATATATATAAACCTTTTGATTGGTGTCTCATCAGTATGCTTGCACAAACCCCCTTTCTTGCCACTAAACGTCTTTGATTCAAGGTCAAGAAGTTCATTTGCTTGATTCTAAATTAGTTCTCATCCTAGAATAGATGAGACTATTTTTGGTTGCAGCAGATGTATATCTTTCATTTTCTGTTTTTTGATGTGGTTTTGTTTCATTTTCTGTAACACTCAATGTAGGAATTCCCAAAGCAATATCACTTCGTTTATAAATCTGTGGAGTGTATTATAGAAGATAATGATGAGTAGTAGTCAAAAACCACTGACATCTGTATACAGCCAAGTGGGAGTGATCTACATATCTTATTTTATTTTTCTAGTGTGGATTGTATAGAGCTAATTATGCATAATATGCACCTTTCCGCCCCCCCTTCCCCCAAAAAAGTTGCTGATTTAATTTATGCCAACATGTAGGATAATATTCTTCAGTAGAAATGCATTAGCACATTTGAGGCACTTTTTATGTGAATATTTATCTGGATGATAGTGAGTGGCTAGCAGTAGAATCTAAGACGTGCCTATCCGGGCCTCATTCAGTGATGATTAGCATGTTTTCTGTTGCTGACTGTTGGTTTAAGCCATGTTGGGTGAAGATGTGTGTGCGTGTGTGTAAAAATTGTTTTCCTGGGGTCCTCGAGACGTTAAAACCCTATGAATGGAGACTCTCTCTCTATCTCTCATGCAGTTTAAAGTCGTTTTCAATGACGCAAAAATGCATTCACTCTTTGTGGTCTCCTGGATCTATTTAATTCTCATTGTTCATTGTATAATTATGCTTTCCCCCTTCTTCGCCATCAATTTCTACTGACTACCTTTGTAAACTTTTGTGAAATGTACCAATTGGAGAATTCAATCCAATCACACTTGAATTAACGATTGACTTCTTTTACTTTTGGTTGCATATTTATATATATTATACTTATTTTACCCCGTGTGTGTGTAGTTGTTTAATTTTTATTATTAATTAAAGCTATATAAAATAAAATGTACTAATTGAGTGAATAGGACAAAAGATGCATCAGATGATGATTACTAATAACCGTTTTGTACTAGCCCGAGTATTCCACCTATTCTTAAGTACATATATGGGGTTACTGTTTTAAGTATCTATTATCCTATTGGGTTTTATATTGTTTTTTGTAAAGCGATTGAAGGTTAGTTCAGTGAATACAAGCTTGCATTAATTTATTCTCCTTTATAGTTTGTAGACAATATGCTGTTCTACTTTATTTGATAATAGTAATAATAATAATAACTATAATAAGTATCTTTATTCTCCTGTCGTTATCAGTGTTACTGGGCGTATCTGATAATTTCTATCGTAAATTGAGGTCCAAACAATAACAAAAAGAAAATTTTAAAAAACTTTTGCTTATCAAGCAATTCCACTAACTATCCATCTAGTTATTTCAATTTTCATTTCTTTTTATGCATATTCCTACACACATGTGCATACTTTAACTGGGAAAGATCATGTGGTGTTTCATACTGCCGCCGATTCACGCGATATCTAACGTGATATTTCGGAGTGTTACTATCTGTCGTCTAACCTGACTACAGTGCACATCTAGACACAACATCTATAACTGACTGGTCACTTAGAAATATTCCGCACACTGAGATAAACAAAAAAAACAATCAGATTTAAGTGGGACAACCAAAGTCATCAGTGTATCTGTCAACACATTCTACTTGGTGGGTGGGACACTTCTGATCTCAACTTCTTACTTGAACTCTATGACCTCCATCTTGTAGTCAGTCACTAGTGTGTTGTAGTAGATGTCTTATTCATTCACCTCTTGGAACCAATATTTTGTCGGCTGATGAGTATCTCAAAGGAAAGTCATCACAGAAACCTGTGCATATTGTAGAAGAGAGAAGTCATGGGTGATTGAGTAATACTGTCACTACAATGGTGTCATAACCTGTTGCGCATGCTTTGTTTTAGGTTAAAATTATAACCCTTGGTAGCTTCAACGAGATTTAATAGTCTGATATTGTCAACGTGTATGAAGTAATAAAGAAGTTTGTAGCTTTAAATGAAGCTGGCAATTGTTATTTTTTTTCTCTTTGTTCATAAAAAACAAAAAGATTAGTGCTAAATGATGTCACTATAGTCAAATAAACAGGATTGTAAGCAGTTTTCGTATTAAAGTCCTGTTTAGGCCACAATATAATGCTTCACACACATTCAGGATTAATTGTCACGATAATGAACACTATTCAGTGGTGTTAAACATCTGTATACGTGTTGAAATTAATTAATTAATTAGTTAATCATATTTTGTAGTCGTGCTTTAATTGAACCTTTTATTTTGTATTCCTCCATTTGTTAGTGTTCATTAACGTTGATTCTTATAGCTTCTAATTTTCTGTATATACTTTTAATACATTATAACATGTAAGCATTCATGTCACTTATTAATGTTTCCATGAGTAGCAGTAAAGAGTTTACTCACATTTCTCAACATATTTTACAATTTATTCATAAATGAATTCATCCTAGTGCCCAAAAGAGTTAGTAGTTTCTAATTGGTTTAGGCGCTAGACTTTTTATCACTGGATAAAATGGGTTCAAACTCCGTTCAACCTATCAAAGTCCGACCAGTCGAGTAGTAGTAGTACTATAAGTTTTCATACAATAAATGTCGTTGCTCATTGATAAGTGCATGTAAATGCTACCAGTTGTTAATCAAAGGCATAAACTCGCAAACGCAGTCTCACCTTCAAATGCGAAGATACATAAAACTAAGAGTTAGGTACCTTTTATTCTTTTTTAAAATAATAGGTCCTAGTATTTCTTTGTGTACACACTTCACAATAGTCGATAAACGCTGCAATATGTCTTCTAATGCTGCATAGTTTACTAATCTGAGCATTCAATTCCACATTTAGGTAGAGAGATTGTGTACTCAATAAACGTGTTTTATTATTTTGTAAACTTGCTGATGGCTTTTTCCCATTTATTGTTATTGCTTTTTAAAGGCTTGTCGAGGTGCAGCTTTTGATAAAGGAGTTTCAACTATGGTGACGGATGCCAGTGGAGACGTGATAGTACACAAGTTGCCAATAGAAGCGGACATACTAGTCGCATATTCCACAGTCCCAGGTAATTGACTTTTATTCCCTGATCGTTATTTCTTTGGCCTTTTTTCTTGAAATTCGATTTAACCATTATTCGCTCCGAAGGTAGTTTTCTGTTAAACGTCTTTCTTTACGTCCATCTCCTTTTTCGTTGTGGATTTCAATATCAGTATTATTTATATCTTCTGTGTGGTATTTTCGCAGTCCTTGGAAGGAAATAGTGTACACACATTGTGCATGTAAATACATCGCGGTATTTTTCTCGTTTGGTAACTCACGTGATCGGGTTTGCATATCTTAGTGCCCTAACGAGTTACACTGGTTGAAACAAGTGTTAACCCTGAAAACTTTACATTCTGACTTACTCTGTTGTGGTCGATGGATAGCGATAAGGTCTTCTTACGAATAAACACATCTAAAAACCACTTCAAACAGGTTATTTGTGAGTAATCGCAAGCACTTGTCCTCTCACATCTTCGATTTTTATTTATTATTATTGTTCCCTTAGGTTCCTAGTAGAACATAGGGCTTCAACTGCACGTCTCCACTTGCTTCTGTCTTCCTTCTGCTGTACTTTACACCTGCATCCATCTTAGTCCATACTCTCTCAACTCCTCTTCACACGATCTCCTCCATGTCACCCTTGCACTGACGTCCCACTCGCCGCGTGCTTCCCTTTCGGGTTCCACCCGAGCAATGGCCTGACGCGCGCATGATGTCATCCAGCCACCTCCTCAGCGAGTGTCCAATCCATCTCCACTTTCCCCTGCATATTTTTTGTTGGCGATTGGTTCTTGTTTTTTTTGTTTCCAGCCATAGTTTCTTGTTGGTGATTCTTTCCGACCCGGCCATCTGATTTTCAGTATAGAGCCAGCGAAGACAGTTGTTGGTTGATGAAAGTCTGCAACAGACTGTTGGAAATATTCTTTGTGACCCACCCGACAAGTTTCTGATCCGTATAGAAGAACTGACTTGGCGTTGTTTGTATTGAAAATCCGAATTTTGTTGTTGATGCTGATTGACGAAGATTTCCAGATTGGTTTCAAGTTAATGAATATGTTTCTCGCCTTCCTGATTCTCGACTTGACATCCTCGTCCGTTCCGACTGTCTGTAGTTGAGACAAGGCTCCCTAGATAATTGAATGAAGTAACTTCTTTCAAATCCCTCCCGTTGATGGTGATTGGCGCTGGATGTTGCTGCTCTACGGTTACGCAGCACTAATCCTCTATCTGTTTCTACTGTTTCATAGATAACTAAACTACTAAGGTGCGGGGAGCTGGGAAGTAAATAACCACACAAAGCCTACTAGTCCATCAACTCATCGTTAATTCATTCATTAAAAGTCATCCAATTGTATGTGTGTATTTGTCAATGAAGTGGCTAATTGCCTGACATCCACACTGTGTACAAATACATACAAAACATCGGGGGTTTCATGGTAGAATGCTCGTCAACCACGCACGTGGTTGGTTCGACCCCCACCGACACACTCCTAAACCTTGCTTAGGCAGTATCCAGCCCACTAGAGAGGGAAAGTGACGTTGCTCCCAAAACCTCAAACCTGAAGCCTGAGGCCCCATGTTCCACTTGAAATCTAAAGGGAGTGAAAAAATAGATGACAGAAGTCTTTATTCCTAATCACTATATATATATATATATATATATATATATATATATATATATATATATATATATATATATATATATATATATATATATATATACTGGATATATGAAGGTAGATGTAGTCGCGAGTCGATTCTAGTGAAACAGTTATTGAAAGCAATCGGGCACCAGTATCCGACAAAAAGTCTCAAACCAGGACGAAACGGATGTTCAGTACTGTATGGTTTCAAAGGTTTCGTAAGTGATGTCAGTTCGTAACAGAGTCTACATATTCGATTACTTATCAGTATCTCTCATTGATACTAAGCTTGTCGAATTCCAGTCGTCAGGAGACATGACGATGTCAATTGTTGAAAGTTTTGTGGGTGTTTCTTTCTCTTTGTGAAACTGTAATTAGACTCATTCATCAAACTTCATAATAACTGTTTTACTTTATGATATGAATTTCCTTTGCAGGATTTTTCGCCTGGCGTAATTCGTCAATGGGTAGTTGGTTCATTCAAGAATTGTGTAATGTTCTTGAATCGGACATGAAAAGAGTGAATCATTCAGATATCATGACACTGCTTGCAGTTGTTGCACGCGTAGTAGCCTACCAGTATCGATCAAACACAGGTATGGTAGAGACAGACAATATGAAACAAATGACCAGTACTGTAAGCACCTTAACTCGTCTGTTTTATATAACTGGACCACCACCGTCGTCAGCAGCAGGGAATAATGTTCAGTCGACGATGTGATGAAGTTCCTGCAAATTTGCACACATTTGTTTTTGATATTTTATACAAACATAAATGAAGAATACTCTGTAATTCCTAACAAATAAATCCAATACTAGTGAAAATTGATACAACTATACAGGATGGATGTGTAAGTGTTCAGCTAATTTCAAGTCAACTTTCGTTTTTTGCTAAACAACACTATCGCTGCACATAGTTGATTACCTTAAATGCCTTTTTATATTTTGCTTAGACGATCTTATCATTACTTATTCTTGTATGAAATGCTGTTGTGTGTTCTATTTCTGAAAGTTTTAACTCAGTTAAAAAGATATTGTAAATTTTCAACGTTTTCCCACCTCCTGCCTACCCGCAGACAGATGACCACATAGCCTGTGTGCGAGTGCCTTTACTCCAATATTGTTCACAATGATGTTAATTGTGTTTAATGCTAATTAAAATTACTCAATTACGCCTCATAAGTTAAATCAATTCTTTCCAATTGGTAGACAAATTAACGTGCATTTGTATGTAGGTGACTACCGAGAGACATCTTCCGTCTTGTTTGCAAATCGTCAGCTGGATGTACCTGTATGTGAGTGTACCGTAGTGGTGTTTGCGCCGGGACTCAAAATCTCCTTTTCGTTCTATATGGTAAAGCATTATTTACTAGCTTCAAGAACAACGAGAGCCACTTACTATTGTATTCACTGAAATTTGTTATTTGTCGCCGTTTTGTTTAAACTAGACTGAAATAACTGGCTCTTAGTTGGCATGTACCTATATTCATTCGTGTTCTTCAAACTTAAATGTCAGCAGAAGGCATTCATCATCATTTTAAACGCACGTAATTCACGCAGAAATATGTATCAAATTATCATAGCCGTTACTCTAGTACATAGATAAGGAATCAAAAGGGATCAAGAATTGAAAAATCAGATGAAATGAGCGGAAATTATTATATTTGGTAAAGAATATTTTCCTTAAGCCTTACTATTTTTATTATATTGTTGAGGAGAAATTCACAGCCTTATACACCACTGGCTTTAAATTAGGGTTTTAAAACTACTCCTAACTAACTTCAGAGTTTCTCAACTATATATCAATTTTCACTAAACAAGTAATAATGCGTTGTATCTCCTCACTGGTATTAGAGTGTTTTGTACCGAAGATAACTACGACATCAATTTGTATCAGGAAAGACAGACTAATGCCGAGAAAATACATTGCACTGATAAGGGCACTCTACTTGAACCCATGCAGCTAGGTGAGGGCTTATGGCGAGTTATCATCTGAACTGGTGACGACTGGTGGTGTCCATCAAGGATGCCCATTATCCCCATTTCTATTCAACTTCATCATAAATGTACTAATGGACCTAACCCTAACACACTTCAGCGACTTAGGGATTGACTTGCTACCATCAGGGAATGATCTCGTTGACGTAGTATATGCAGACGATATAGTCCTTCTAGGCGAGGACGCTGACAAAATGCAGAGTCTTCTAAACACCTTGAGCTGCAATCTACGAATGTTTGGAATGCGATTCGCTCCCACCAAATGCAAGATGATGTTACAGGAGTGGACTACACCGACTCCTAGGTTAGAAATTGGAAGTGAAGTGGTAGAGCACGTTGACCGCTTCACTTATTTGGGAAGTACCATCAGCCAGCACCAACGGGTTGATCTCTGACGAAATCTCAGCACGGATACAGGGGGCTCGTTTCGCATTTGCCAGTTTACGCCGTCTCTGGCGTAGACGAGATATTCGACTATCGACCAAAAGGCGTGTGTACTGCTCATCAGTCCGCTCCGTCCTCCTTTATGGCTGAGAGCGAGACATGGCCATTGAGAGTGGAAGACACGAAAAGCCTGACTAGCTGTCTTTGATCATAGGTGCCTGCGTTCTATCTCCCGTGTGGAGTGGTATAATAAGGTTAGTAATATTGAGGTTAGGCGTCGAGTTCTAGGTAAGGAGGGGAAATCAATCGACGAGGTTGTGAAGTTACATAGACTGAGATGGTTAGGACATGTGTTACGTATGCCTAGTCATCGTCTTCCTCGACAACAACAATGTTAGCTGATATAGGGTCAGGCTGGAAAAGAGCTAGTGGAGGTCAAACAAAAACATGGCATCAGTCAATGAAATCTACAACAGTTAGTCTAAGCCTGTCACGTAGGAAGGTGTAGACTTCCTGGTTGTGGTCCTCGGGACGGTAAAAATCAATAGTTGGAAACAATTGGTGGTATGGCTCAAAATCGTTCTGAATGGCGCAGATACATCCTTTCCTTGTGACTTATGATTTCCAATGAAACTATATTGTTCTTCGTTATTACTATTCCTTTGTCTCACACCTCTGTTTACTGTCTCTATTATGCTTTTCTTGTACTTTCTTCTCTTGGTTTGTGTACTACAAGCAAGGAGTGTGGTGACTTGAACTGCCGCACATATGTGCAAAGTTCTATGTCGAAAACAGACAGGCTATTTGAACGAAACTAATATACTTTCAAAAGAGATAATAAAGAAGTCTTAAATTCAGGGGGAGGACAGTGTTACATCACTGAAAGTAGTGGATTATTATAAATATAGTTGTGTGTGTGTGTGTGGTTGGCTTATGCCATTATGCGTAAAAAGACAACACATAGCTTTCATGGAATGCTTACTCTTCTTTAGCCAACTTAAACTATCTCGTCTTTAAACTAAACTATAACACCACCGTTTGTGAATATCTGTCAATTTCGGGATTATTCTACTTGCTTTGTTGTATGAAGATTATTCAAAATAGTAGTTCAAAAAAGGCGTTCATATGCATAAATGTTATGTATGAAATTAGTATATTATTCTTTTATTAGAAAAAGCATGATATAATAATTAAATATTAATATCTGAGTGATTTATAAAAGTTATTGCGAAATCTGTTTTTTCTAACGTTTCGTATGAAAAGGAATTGAGCATCAGTTACTTTAAAAAAATCAACTGAATACTGCTTTATATGTGTCCAAACCAAGTTCACTTTTAAGAGTTAGTGCTTTTATAAAAATATCGTCAATTTTATGCAGAAAATGTCAGTCAGATGTTGGCTTTTCCTTTATTCTTCTTCTTCTTCACTTCTCCGTAACGTATAAACTCGGTGCACACACAATGTCCCGGTATATCAAACTCTTAGCTTCTTCCATTTTCAAACATAAGTCATGATTACCAATTTGACGGCAAACGCCGCATATATGCCGAATTAATTCGTCCAATTGTAATAACATTTTAATCAATAGGCCTTCTGGTAGATCACATTTATTTGTCGCTGCAAATAATGAATGACCGTTAGCCCATTTATAGACAGCCGTCACTTGGCGTAGATCTAATCGTGTATCAGCATACGATTCAGCCACCTGGTGTTGACGTTGCAAAATTTCCAACTGCAATTATTTTGCATTTAAGAAAAATAATAAGAAAAAAATTATATAAATGAAAGTAATCGAGACAGTAGGTGAAATTATATCTAGCGTCCAACTAGTCAGTATGCGGTCTGGCTACCGCAGTAAGCACGACACACACTTATATCAGATTATTAACTTTTATATGGTATGAATCATCGTGATGAGGCCACTAGGTGTATGTAATGGACAACGATACAATATATTGTCCAATGCATAGTGTTGACCATCAATGGATAAAATCTAAAAGAAGTCACCCCGTCTCCACTTAAGTTGCTAGGCAGCATCATTTCAGCTATAGGGAGGGGGCACTTATACGGATATCAAAACCTGTCACGACAGGAAATGCAAGACACACCTTCATTACTCTGAAATCAGTGTGGAAATCTTACTGCATTCGGAATAAGTAACAAGATACTGATTTTCAACACTAATGTCAAGTTTGTCAGTGCTTCCATATGGTTTTAGGAGAATTAGCGCGCTCGTCACCAAAAGATATTTCAACAAGCTACTACTCTAGACTTTCATCAGCAGCTGACTCCGCTCTATTCTGAACATCAAACAACCAAGAATCTGTTGCTCAGCAAGTATGTAGAAGGAAGTGAAACTGGATTAGGCATACGCTAAGGAGACCTTCAAGTGACATTGTGTGCCAGGCTGTCGAGTGGAACTCGAAACCAAAAAGACCAGTTGGGCGTCGTACGGAAGTGACCTGCAGGAGATAGTGTAAAGAAGAAATTAAAGCTTATGACCAGTCGTCAAGTCAGACTGTGGAGAACAGAGTGGAATAGAGATGTGCTGCTGAAACCCTATGGTTCCATTCGGAACCTGAAGGAAATACACCATTATTAAATATTGAATGAATTCAATTTTGTAGTTAATTGTAAACTTGACTGGCAGAACTGCGGTCAGCACTAAGGATTAAGCAATACTGGATTGCTCACATCTTCATGATAAGCCTGTGCATCCCCATCTCTGAGTGGCGCGTGTGCATATTCTTCAGCAACATTAGTAGGTCCTTTGACGTTGCAAACTGATCTTGTTGACGAGTACTGGTAAACTCTACCAGAGGCTTCCTGTTGATCGTTTCCTATATTAGAGTATTGTTTACGATAGGACAATTATTTTATACGCTTTAAATAAGACATAGCAACAATAATTACTGAACACAAGGTGTTTTTCTCCTGATAAGCTATCCACGTTCTACAGTTATATTATCGGCACTAACTTGTTAACAACAGTAATGGCCTCTTTAAGATTGAATACCAAAACTGGGTACTCATAAAATTGATCATACAGGTTTTAGACGAATCTCTGATTACAGCTGATAAACTTGCGGTGTACTGAACAGCATAAAACTCATTGTCCACCATATTTCTGGATGCCTCTTGATAATATCCGTTCTCATACCCACTACCTACGATCCAATTGATATGAAGCCCTGCAGTCTGTTGCTTAAAACAAAAGCCTGATACCTTGACAGATGTTGTTCTAAAAGTGTTCCACGCTGAGTTATGAGTATCGCTGTTCTACAGAACAAGTATGGATTCCAGGCGTTTCAAAAGAGGATGTCAGTGAAGACAGTAAACCATCGGTTTTGTAGACTATCATTTCCAATATAACCGAGTTGCAGAAAGACAAATTTGAACTGCACTACTGAAATCTTGAATTTGCAAATGCGAAAGGAATACTAGACAGTGAAGCATATTGTCTAACGGTTAACTCAAAAGTTGCATAACAAGATCATGTCTTGCATAATAATAAAAATCTACTACTGACTTACCTGATAAACAAAGTTCAAAATCTTTTCAAATACTGGAATTAAATGGTTAGGAATAAACTTTAAATCACTCTCGCTTTGCCGATTACCACTATGGATTTCTCTGAGCAAGTTGTGAAGATAGTCATGCGACTGTTGACTTGTTAAAGTGGACTGTCTCATTTCGTTAACAAATGCAGACAGGACAGCTGCTATTTGAGGTGCTAAAAGATTGTCGAACAATCCGTCGAATAAAAGTTCCGTTACTATAACTTCCTTTTTTGTTAGTTCACATGCAACTAGACCTATAAAAAGAGATTTAAAAAAAGATCTCGGTCACACTTGTTCTGAGGGGATAAATTAACAATCTATTACGCGAAGTGATCACTGTGACAACATACCGTTGCAATTGGCAACAGCATCAATGGTTACTGTATCTTATATGACAGAGAGAGAGAGACTACATTAGTAATACAGAGCAAGTATATACTCCCTACGAAAGGCTAGTGATTCACTGTTCGTAATCCTGCTCCCAGTCACTACAGGCTTACGCGACACAAGGAATATCTATATATAAACCAGTAATCAGCCTACCAATTCGAGTGCAGGCACACCATGGCCAGTGAGTTGAATGATGATATGGTGTGTCATCATAAAAGTCTATATATAACTGCACATCAAAATTACTTTTTAATAAATGTAACAAACTGTGAAAAAACAAAAAAAAATCTGTCAGTTGAGAATCGTGCGAATAAATTATATGTAGCTTGAAAATCTCCATTGAGTCATATGAAAAAGAGAGGACGTTCAGGGAAGAGACTCTTTTCGGTGAATTCAT